TTCTTCTTCTTCTTCTTCTTCTTCTTCTTCTTCTTCTTCTCCCCCTCCCACTCCTCCTCCTCTTCCTTCTTCCTTCTCCTCCTCCTCCCCCTCTTCTTCGTTCTCCTCCTCCTCCTCCTCCCTCCTCCCTTTTCCCTCTTCCTTCACAAGGTGGCCTAGGAAAAAGCCCTCATGCCTAGCGGCCCCTGGCCACCCCTCCAAACCCCCCACTTGTCTCCCATAGCTCCTTTTCATCCCGTTTAGAGAAAGCAAAACACCCTCTTTAAATGAGGAGATGAAGACCACCTCGCTGGCCGTCCTAACGGCCACTTAAAAAGCCGCAGAAGGGGCTGTTGCTTTAAGCCAAATAGAAGTCCAGATGTTTCTCTCACAGGGCTGGGTTAAGATTTCTAATTCCAGGGCTCCGTTTTGAGGCTCTCCTCTCTTCAGACCTTCGGTAATGAATGACCCGGGGCTTCGATTTATTTCTTAATAGCCCTCCCTTGAAAGGGGAAGTTGCTTATGGCTACATCCTCTTGTAATGGCCCCCGTTGGCTCTCTTGCCATTGCACAGACTTCATGGATTTTTATTTATCTAATTTTATCCAAACCGCATTTAAATTTAATCCCCCTTCAAGCAGCCCCGGGTTAAATAGGTGACAGTCTCGGCTTGAAACATCCACCCAAAGAAAATCCATCCACCTTGCTTTTGATCAGACATAATTTTTTTTTTTTCCGGGCGTCATAAAATGTCACCGTCCCAAATTCCCATCGTGTCAAATTTAAGAGCCGTTTCTCCCGTCTCTTCTTTTTCACCAGCCGTTCTCGTGCATCATTTTGACTTCCCCCCCCCTCTGAGCACCGTGGGGGTCTTTTTCCTGCTAGGAACCCTTTCCAAGCACTGCACCCCCCTCCCAAACAAATGGAAAACTCCCGACAACGCAGAGGGTTTTTTTTTTTTTTGGTTTGTTTTTCTTCAAATATTCTTGGCAAAGACACATGGCTTTTCTTTCTTTCTTTCTTTTTCACGGCCCCCTTTCCTGTTCGCTTCTCCCACCTTGTATCTCCCTGCAGGCGATGTGGCTGAGTAAACAATTGGTAATTCCCCGGATTTCCCCAGAGAGTTTGCTAGCCAATGAATGGTCAGCCCTCTCGAGCGAAGTGCGCAACTATTTGGAGAGAAAGCAGGTACGTTTCTCGAAGTGACAAGGCCACCTCTGCGTGTGAGGGGGAAAAAGAAAGGGTGGCATTTGCTGGGTTTTGCGGCAGGTGTGCGGCGAGGGGGGGGGTCCAATTATCACCGTTCGTTTGCATCCAAGGGCGGCTCTCGTGCCCACTTTGGAGTCGGGGATGAGAGGCTCGCAGTGTTAATCTTCCCAGGTAAACCGGACAGGAAACACGACCAGATAAACTAATTTGATTTCATTCTAAAGCTACGTTGATAGAATCTTGCAAGTCTGAAAGTACAAATCTATTAAAAACAAAACAAAACCACCCCACCCTCTTTTACAGCCCAGGAAATTATGGAGGGTTTCGTCTTGGCCCTTCCGTTATGCAGCTGTGGGCCGTGCGGTCTCTTAAGGCACCAAGCTGGAAAGCAGGAGATTGGGAGTTCAAGTCCTGCCTTAGCCATGCAATGCAACCGGGTGACCTTGGGCCAGTCACCAGGAGGCTGGGAGTTCTAGTCCTGCCTTAGGCATGAAAGCCACCTGGGTGACTTTGAGCCAATCACCAGAGACTTGGAGTTCTAGTCCTGCCTTTGTCATGAAATCTGGTTGGATGACTTTGCCCAACCTACCTTACAGAGTTGTTGTTATGGAGAAAATAGGAGGGGGAAGGTCCGTTGGAAATGTTTGTTGCCTTATTTGTACAAATAATAAAGGCAGGATACAAATATTTTTTTTAAAAAAACAAAACCCTTCTTTTTGGTTTCCTGGATATGCAGTTTTCTTGCTCCTTCCATCACTGAACACCCTAAACAATCTTGGGCCCTCTTTTTAAAATGGATGTCCGGAAAAAAAACACAACCCAGACCCCTCCTCATTTATTTTTTTCCTGGAGGCCAAAGACGGATTTTCGTTCCATTCAGAATAAAACCTCAATTGGTTTGGAGGACACACACACAGAGAGAGACACACACAGAGCCATGTTTTTGAGCAGAGAAAGGAAAAAAAATCCCCTTTGGCTTAATTACTCTCATTATTAGCATATTTCAGGCTAATCAGTGGTGCTTTCAAGGATGCCCTGTAGGGTTTCCTTGATTATTACAGGGTAGGACATGAAAGGCAACGAGACCTGGCAAAAATCAGAGATGGCAGGGTGGGGGACAGCGAATGAAACTGACATGGCACACTTTAGACCTCTCTCTGGCCCAGCTGGCATCTGTGAAGAGCGGTTTCCCCCTGCAACTCGTGGCCCTTCAAAGGAAACGGAATCGAATGTCCCAGAAAAATCCAACTTTCAAACCATATGGTGAGTGAGGACAGACTTTGAAGAGGCTCTCGCTGCGCTCTGGGCGCTGTCCGAGGTGCTGAACTCCAGTTTGCTGTCCGAGGTGCTGAACGGTTGAGAAAAAAATGTCTTAAGGAAGAAGAAGACGGGGCTTATTTTATGGATGGGTGAGATTTTTATTTTTTTTTTAATCCCAAGGAGGGGAACATACACCATATTGTTTCTTCCTCCTGTTTTGCTCACAACAACCCTGTTAGGTAGACTGGAGAGAGAGAGAAGAAGTGATGCGAAGTCAACCGAACGGCCTTTCATGCCTGAAGTGGGACTAGAACTCCCAGTCTCCTGGTGGATTGGCCCAAAGTCACCCCAATGGCTTTTCTGACTAAGGTGGGACTAGAACTCCCGGATTAGAACTTGCCCTTTCTAGCCTGATGCCATAACCATGAGGCAAAACTGTCTCTAATTTGGGTCTTCTTCACTTCTGTTTGGGGTGATGTGCCCATAACTAGGCCAGACAAGTGATCAATGTTTACATAAAGTAGCTCTAAGCTTGACTGTTTCCTTGAGGACATTTCATAACCCAACTTAGTAACATCATCAGCACTAGAAAGAGTGGACTTTGCAGGGAGGAGAAGAGGAGGAGGAGCAGGAGAATGGGTACTGTGCGGTCCTTGATGTTCTCTCAGCTTGTTTGTTTCCTTGCACACATTTCATGACCCAACTAGGTAACACCATCCGTGCTAGTGAGTGTGATTTGCTCTCTGTGTATACATGGTAGCCCTGAGCTTGGTTGTTTTCTTGCAGACGTTGCATTACCCATCTAGGTAACATCCTCCGTCCCCTGAGTAGAAATATTCTCTTTCCTCTGTCCTAGATCCTTTCAGGTCCATGGTTCCTCCAGAAAGATTTGTCTGAAATATTCTCCTGCCCAAGGCCACTTCCCCTGCTGAAGACGGCTAGCCAGAGGCTGGGAACGGGCCCCCTTCCCCCATGATCCCCTCCGCCCAACTGTCCCTCCTTCTCTCCCACAACCATCACCCCCTGCTTGATTGCTCCTCATCCCACTGGTCAAGCCAGCCGGTCCAGCAAGCCGAGGAGAGGAGCTGAGAAGGGAATGGGGAGGAGGAGAAGGGGGGACTTAAATTGGATTCCACCAGCTTTTGCTGGCCAGACCCCAGGATCTCTTGAAATGACACATCAAAGCAGGACGGGAGAGGCTGTCGGTTTCTGAGAGCAGCATGAAGCACCTTTGTAATGTGACAGCCTCAAAGCTGCCAAGGCATGTCTCCAGCTGCGAGGGGCTGCGGGAAGCTTTTGACGCGCCCGCCCGGTGGGACTCTGAAGACTTCCAAGGAAGGCGCGGAGTTCTTTCTTTCCCCCTTCTCCAGCTCTCGAATGCCTAACGTGCCTGCTTTAGAGCCGGCTTTGAGTCACCGGGGACCCGGGGAAAGGCCTAATTGGGTCATTTAGTCCACCCTTCACCTGCCTGACATGGAGCTGTTCTCCGGGACTCCATCCTGGACAGCTTACATTCCCGGCACCTTTGAAGGAAAGCTGTTTCTTCTCGTTGGCGGAGAGCGGGGAAAAGTTTCTCAGAATTATTAAACACACACCGATCCACCAACTCCTACTTTGGTTTGCTGGCTGCTCGCCTGGAGGAGGCACGGTTAGGTGTTTTTTAGGGGTGGACTGTGGGGGTCCTTGATGCTCTCTGAGCTTTTGGCAGACTAGGTGGCATCATCAATGTTAGAAGAGAGTGAGGTTTGTGGAGTGGAGGAGGAGAAGAAGAGGGGGAGAGACAGAAGAAGAGATGGATGACAACTTTGGTGTCCTTGGTGCTCTTTGGGCATGGTGTTTTGTTACCAACTAGGTAATATCATCAGTGCTAGTGGGGTTTGTGCAGTAGAGGAGAATGAGAACGGGGGGAGGAGGGGAGGAGGAAGAGGAGAAGAGGAGGAGGAGGAAAGGAAGAATAGGAAGAGAAGAAGGACGACTGTGATATCCTCGGTTCTCTCTGAGCATGATGATTTTCTTGCAGACATTTCATTACCCAACTAGGCGACATGTGCAGGAGTTTCCTGCAGCTACCATATAAACCCCACACACTGTAGCGCTCTTGATGTTCTAATAGAAGAGGATATTTACAGCTCAGGGCGGAGCTGTTTGGGCTGTAAAGACACACTTCCTTTCCCAATTTCATTTGTAAAAGGTCTTGGAGGTTTATTTTGTTTTTTAAAAAGTGAGAAACTGTAGGAAATGTTTAAAAGGAGGGAGGGAAAAGAAACAAGAAAGGAGTTGAAAGAAATCAGGAAAAATGGATGGAGGCCAAGACTGCTGAGACGTTGCCTTTGTGGCTAAGTCAAGCAGTTGGAGATGGCCATGAACTCGTAGCTTAGCACAGCTCCAAAGGAAACTTGGCTGTATATTTATTTTACCCAACTGATAGAGAAAACTTTCTCTGCCGATAGCCTGAGGCTGGTCAGCCGAATCCTACACGGATGAAACTCTGGAGCACAGCCCTCAGTCGTGCCGACGCTGGGTCACACAAAAACTAGAGGAAGAGTAGAAGGGAACATTTAAGACTCGGGGTTCAGCTTGGTGCTCTCTGAGCTGGATGGTTTTCTTGCAGACGTTTCATGACCTGGCTAGATAACACCATCATAGAATAATGGAGGTGGAAGGGATCTTGGAGGTCATCTAGTCCAACCCCCTGCTTGAGCAGGGGAGTCTATTCCAAATATTAGCCCCTACCTAGGATCGAACTCACAGCCTCCTGGTTGTGAGGTGAGAGGTCCCCCTTCTAGGCCAGGGAATTTTGCAGAGTGAGGTTTGCAGAGGAACAGCAGCAATTCTGGGGTCCCAGGTGCTCTCTGACTTTGGTTATTTTCTAACAGACATTTCATCACCCAACTTGGTAACCTCATCAGCGCTGGGGTTTGCTCTCATTTTATATTCTAGGCTGGGCGGAGCTTGCCCTGTCTGTGTGGGCAGGAGGGTCCTTGGTGGTGTCTTGATTGGCATTTTTTTTTTACTTTTTTTTTAATTGAACAAACACACACAAAAAAGAAAAAGACATTTAAAAACAATGGACGTGGTGCAATCATCCTGACAGACCCAGTTGTCTTACATCGCTAATAGATATAAAGAATAATATGTATTTACATTTCATATACATAGCATATAATATATACATAGACATTAATCATCTTTAATATTTTTTTATTCTTCCTAGTTTCCCGCCGGTGATAAAAACTTTCCCCGTATTTTATAATAATCAAAATTGGCCTATTTCTCAATTGCACTGAGTTTGGCTCTAATTCTCTTTAACCCGCCTGTTCCTTCTCTGTCTCTAACCATGGTTTAGAACGTCCCTGACGGCTTGTGGGCCCAGCTGATTGGGGAGCGCCTGAAGCTTGACGATTGCCTCTGCAACGTACGTACAACCGGTGGCTTGCCAAGGGAGGGCCTGGGATTCGAACCCACATTTGAGGGGCTGCCCCAATAAACGGGGGGTGGGTGGGATCAACTTGTTCTGAAAAGCCCCTGAAGGCAGGACAAGAAGCAACGGATGGAAACCAACCAAGGAGAGAAGCAACCTAGAACTAAGGGAGAAACAGGAGGATGAATAGAACCCCTGGCCTCCAGAAACTGTGGGGGCTCCATCACTGGTGGACTTCAGGAAGAGTTTGGACATTTGTCCAGAAGGGTAGAGGAAGGGGGTTGGACTAGAAGACCTCCAAGGCCCCTTCTTCCAACCCTATGATTGTTCTAGGCCACTAAAACACAAAACCCCTTCCAAGCTCAGCCCTGTCACACCGAGGGGATATATAGATTTTCAGGGCCCTGAAAATCCAGGCAGGGTGGCGTTCCTTTTGCGGGATCTATTCTGCAAATCGGGAAATTGATCCCGAGATTCCCTGCCCTCATTACCAGCAAAGGCGCCCCACGTTCGGTTCCAAAAGAGCTTTAAAAGTGGGAAGCAAATCTTGCAGAGATGGTAGGGTTCCCCGTCCCTCCAAACCTCCGGCCAGATTTATGGCGGGAGACTTCGAAGGCAGCTCTGTGTATGTGTGTATCACACCGGAAGATAAAAAAACAAATGCCAAAAAATTGTGTGAAGTGAGCCTGCCAGCTGCTGTTCCTTTCTGCTTTTTTCTTTTTATTTCTCCTCCCGGTGCCATTCGGCCAGCCTTAATTGCCCCGGCTTTCTGTCCCACCTCTTGCCGTTGTGTTGGCTTTCGTGCCACCGCCCGTTGTGTTTGATACCCTGGGGTTTAACGCTGTCACTTGGAACCTCCAAGGGACCCCGTTTGTATTGATTGATGGGGCTGCCAAGTACCCCCAGAGGGCTGGTTCCCCTAATGCAAATGCCGCTAGAAGCACCAGCGATCACAACAGTGTGTCTGTGTGTGTCTTGAAGCACAAGGGCCATGGGCATTAAGTCCTGCAGCTGGCAGCTTGCTGGTCAAAGGTTTCCGGCATCTTTGCGCATTACAGTTTGTCAGGTGGCTCTTCCTCCTCCGCGGCTCAGCCAAATAAATGTATAGGCATCAAGAAAAATTCTGCCTTAGCCAGAAGCTCCAACTTGGTTTTGAAATAGCTGTCAGAAGGATAGAATAGAATAGAATAGAATAGAATAGAATAGAATAGAATAGAATAGAATAGAATAGAAT